ATTGCCCCCCATACTACCCCCCATGCACACACACTGCCCCCCCATACACACACATTGCCCCTATACTGTCCCCCCATACACCCACACTGCCCCCCATACACACACTCTACACACATACACTACCCGATACACACACTCTACACACATACACTGCCCCCCTGCACACACACTGCCCCCCTACACACACTCTACACACGTACACTACCCGATACACACACACTGCCCCCATACACTGCTGCCCCATACACACACATACACTGCAATACTCACACACACACTGCAACTGTTACACACACATACTGTCCCACACATACACTGCTGCCCTCACACACACACTGCTCACACACTGTCCCCCTCACACACACACACTGCACCACTCACACACACCACTGCTCCTATGCCCTACTACTGCCCCATTTCCCAGAAGACCTCAGGTAAGTTGTCAAACTGTTCTTAAACGGTTTGACTACTTATTCTGGGAGGGGGTCCCGGCACTATTGACACCATAACCACTACACTGAGCTGTAGTTGCTATTGTGTCTGGATTATTTCTTTAAATAATCTACAAGTGCCCCTCCCGAGATCAGGCTCTGGATCCGCCACTGCTACCTACCTGTTCTTGTGTGGCTTGACATGACCTTCTGACCTTCCTGTGCACCCCACTATTGGAACACAAACTGGGACTCACTCCTGCCCCAATTTTAACACTAGAGCATAATCCTGAAGCGCCTAAAAGGCCGCTCTCAGGTCTACTGTACAATATGGAAGTTGGAGTAGTTCCTTGCCTAGGAGATGTTTGCTAAGAATTTTTTGTTTGGGGTATATCAGCCCTCTTCACTTTGAATGTGCAATTCAAATATACTTATTATTATTATTATTATTAGTAGTATTTATATAGCAATAACTAATTCCGCAGCGCTTTACACTAACTTAAGCATTACCACAACTTGCTGTCTTCGTCATTTAACCTACAAGAGAACTTATGAGATCCTAGGAGACACTTGGATAAAGAGTTATCTATGCTCTATAGAATGCTACTGGATTCAGGTCAGAAAACTCCCCTTCAGTTTTCTGCCACTTGGGGAGAGGAAAATAATCTTCGGATAGGCAATGGGGGTTGAGGTTTTGCTTGCCCACTGGTCTTCTCTAGACTCAAAGATCCAAGAGATGAATTATAATGTCTTGACCAAGTGGTATAAAATCCCTGAGCTAATTTACAAATTTGCCTCTTTGATCCCTAATATTTGCTGGTAGTGCTGGGCCATTCTCAGTATTCTTTTACATATATGGCAGAGTTGTTCACTGATTAAATGTTTTTCAGAACATGATCTGTGGTGAGCTAGTAAAAATGCTGGGGGAGACTCTCCAATTGATGCCTGAATTTATGTTATTACATGTCGTAGAGCTCATCTCCCAACTTACAGGAATAGTGATTCCCACAAACAGAGGTACTGGATAGACGTATAACAGAGCGTTAGAATGGCTTGACTTAACATTAATACAGATAAAGACAGAGTCTGGAATAGCCAAGGCCAGGGATATAGAAGTACGGATAAATGGAATAAAAAGTTGGGTCAGGATACCAGAAATACACAAAGTCAAAAACGATCTGTGATGGTAGTCACCTTTACCTGGAGTTTCATACAGACACTTTATGTAGGACCCTGGACTACTCCTATGTCTAAGTCACCCTGTGCCCATTATAGGTGCAGGGTATGTATTGTTTTATTGTTAGGTGTTTTGTGTGCTCTCTCTCCTGCTGGTGCTTGCTACCAACTAGGTGGATTTGGTTGTGGAGCCTGCACAGCGCCACCCATTGGTAGCAATATGCACTACCTGAATAGCAAGGCTTATTAATTTGCATATTCAGGTAGAATTGCATATTATGGCTTTTGCAAGCAAATATTTTATGTTCTTTTTGTTTTCACTGCTCTTCTATTAATATGTTTATGTGTTTTTATGAGTGCCTGTATGTTTCTTCACATGATTTGGTTTTATGTATTTATTTACATTTATTTAAAAAAATAAAGCTTTGTATGTTAGTTCCTGTTAGAACTGTGTCCTGTGTGGATATTTAGGGATCACAGTGACAGAGTTGTCGTACCTATTCCCTGGCTGCACAATCCTTTTAGTCCTGGGGTAAATGCAGCCTGGTTTAGGTGGAAAAGCTCCAGAGAGACACCAGTAAAGCCCCAACAACTGTGGATGAAGCACTCTAGGCTCTCTCCCCAATGGCTAGGAAGCGGACTGGGCGGAGACAGGGCCGGATTGGGAAAAAAAATGAGGCCCGGGCATTTTTCAATCTTCCTCTAATAGTGAGCATGTTGGTTTAATGTGCAGAGCCCCGCTGAAGAGCTCTAGCATGAGAAAAAGGCCCTGTATTTGTTCTGCGCAGCACAGGCAAATGTAATAACATGCTTGCGCTGTGTTTGCTTTTAACTTGTCTCTGGTGTCTCCATAAGTGGGATAACAGAGGACAAAAGGGCCAGGAAAGCGTATGGTGCATGTGTTTGCAGCCTGCTTGTGGGTTTGTGTGTGTGTAGAGTATGGTGTTGTGTAAATAGGTTGATTTAATTCGTGTTTGTGGTGTAATATGTGTAGCTAGGGGCTGTAGAGAGTGTGTGTAGAGGGGTCATAGTGTTTTGGAGATGTAGCGAGTGTGTGCATACGGGCTGTAGTGTGTGTGTGTGTATGTATAGGTGACGTAGGGGTTGTAGATAGGATGTGTTTAGAGAATGTTGTATGTGTTTGCTTACAAGGAATGTAGTGTGTGTACGTGATGCAGTGTGTGTGTGTGTGTATGTGTGTAGGAGATCTAGTGTGTAAATGACTCAGAGTGTGTATAATAGATTGTGTGT